CACCTTCAGGTCCCTCAGGTGCTCCTGAACCTGATTCTCTCCAGCCAAAGCCCTGCTCAGGGAAGTGTTGGAATAGGCAGAGGGGGAAGGCCACACCTCGGCTGTAACAATAGCAGGTTGCTGGCTCTCAGTTAAGGCTGCTCGGTCTTAAAACTCCCAGTTTATACCCTTTTCTGTTTTACAGATGGCTCGGAAAGGTTCCTCTGCGAGTCTGTCTTCAGCTACCAGGTTGCATCTACATTAAAGCAAGTGAAACACGGTAAGCGCCGCAGCGCCGTCGATTCGGACCACGCGTCGACTGGGGAAGGTGGCCGGCGAGAGCGGGGAGGAGGGGCTGGCATGTTCTCGCGTGCCAACCGCGTAAGAGGCAGAACGGCCTTTTAAGTAGGCGCGTGAACGCTAGGTCAGACCAGGAGGAGGGAGGCCGTATGCAGAGCGACAGGAACCCACACAACCTGGGTGGGAACGGGCAGTGCCTTTCGAAGCTTGTTTTTCCATCGCCGTGTGCCGCGCTGCCTCCGCGAGAGGCGAGGCCAGAAGAAGAGGCTGTGGGCAGGAAACGCCCGCGCTCTGATCTTGGCCCAGCGCTGACTGTCTCTTCGGCCTCGGGCAAAGAGACACTGGATTCCGCCTTTGTTTCCCTGCCCAGCCCTCCTGACACTGGCAGGGTCAAGCTGGGTTTGCGGAGGTGCTCGGGAGACGCGCAGGTGCCCGGCGTGGCGTGACAGGGCTGACTCCAACCCCTACCTCCCCGAGGAAGAGCCCTGCGTCTCGTTTCAACTCCTGGGGCCTTCGCCCAGGTGCCGTAACCCAACAACGGGCTGGCCCGCGCGGCAGCTTGCGTTCCCGTGACGTGGGGCAGAGCTCTGCCTGGCACCAGACCGCGTCTGCTGCTTGGGGGTCACATCCTTTCTGCTCCCCGTCAGCTGGGACGGGTACTTCCACGTGTTGTCTCAGTCTGGAGAGGTTTCCTGTCTTCTGTCGGCGAGGGCTGCCGGGGGAGGGCTGGGGGCACGCAGCGGCTTGCAAGGCCGTGATCCTGGATTTCTGAACCGAAGAGCAAGGCCCGGCTGGAGAGCTGTTGTTCCCGCGGCCCTGGCGCTGCTGCAGCTGTAGGGGCCGGGGGCTGCCGCGGCAGGTGGGGCGCCCAGGGGCTGGCGCCCCGAGAAGCTCCAGCTTTTGGAACTGGTTTGCGCGGCACCCGTCGCCTCCCTGTTAAGAAAAGGGAAAAGCTTAAAAAGCCAAAATCGAGGTCATCGTTTTTTGGCTTGGTTGTTTGACAGTTTCCAAAGGCCCTTGGCGGCAGGGGGTGGAGTGAGAACAATCCCTCTTTAAAAACTGCTGCAGTCAGCACAAATCACGTGCGTTTTACCTCCCGCCTCTTGCGACCGAGTTAGCTTGTACTGGGCTGTTTTCCCAAGAGGCGGCGGCGCTGCTGAACTTCCAGCTGAGCCAAGGGAAGGGATTCTCGCCTCCGCGCCGCTGCAGCCCATTGAATCGAGAACAGAGCCCGCGTGCCCAACGCACGGCCGGTTGGGAACAAGATGTCCCAGGGCCCCCTCGGGGACCTCTGTGTCATTAGCACGCTCCGATGGCGGAGCCTTTCCGCTGCAGTCACCCACGTCCTCCTCGCAGGACCCTCGTTCAGCGAGGGGTTCCTCGCGCTGTACCCCGCTCTGCCGTGGGCTGACCGCGCTCTCTCCCAACTTCTTTTCCCTTCCGCTGTCAATATTGACGCTCAAGAAAGGAGCATCGTCCCGTTTTCACCCCCGCACGCTGATCGGCCTCGTGTTTCCCTGTTGGGCCTTGAATGCACGCGGGCAGGTGGGCATTCGGTGCTGGACGAGGCGGCCCCGCTCCCCCCGGCGACGCGGTCTCGCCGTTGGCGCGGGGCAGAGCGGGTTTGCGTTCGGTTGGGCCCGGTGGGGTTTTATTCCCCTCCGTTCCCCGCTGACAGCCGGGAATTTGCATCTAATTGAAAAGTTTGATTGCGCTGTCGTTGCAAACCCCGGTGACCTTTGAACTTCTCGCAGATCAACAAGTGGCACGGATGGAAAAACTAGCCGGTCTGGTGGAAGAGCTGGAGGCAGATGAGTGGAGGTACAAGCCAATAGAGCAGCTCCTGGGATTCACTCCCTCCTCGGGCTGAGCGCGTCTGGATGGCTGCTGTCAGGGAGCAGAAGAAAAACGTTCCCTGGCCTGGCTTCAAAAACATCCCCCCCCCATTTATCAGGATGCTGACAGCTGCATCAGCAGGCGCGGCCGTC